AGGTGAGAATTCTCTGGGATTTGCTGGAAGATTATACTGAATTGCTCTTTTTGTCCGAAATCTTTAATTTCCTAATTAGTTTTGTTAGATCTTTTCATATTCATCTTTTATGAGAATTTTTATGGGCAGATGCTTTTGCCTTTGTTTAATTTTTTGGAGAGCATCCAAGGGAACAAACGCACACATGTGCACCAGGACTTTCCTGTCTCTTTGGAATAACACATCTGGCAAAGGGCAGTGGCTCTCCTGGGATATGACACCACCAACAAAAGTTCGAGTACCTTTTTATACTCCATCCTGAGATTAGAACTTTGAAGAGTTGTTGAGCTCAACCTAAGTCAGAAATACCAGCCACTATGTCAGGCCCTGGCTGTACTTTTTCTTTGAGGGAAGGGCATTTGAGGGCTTCTCTAACAGAGGCTGGTTTGGGGGTGTCAATATTCATCAGGAGGAAGCGCCCCGGGTCTGCAGAGGAGGAAGGCCCACGCTGGTGAGCACTCTGACGGACAGGAGGATGGATGTGGCTCTTGGCAACCAGAACAAAGTGAAGTACATGGCAACCCAGCTGCTGGCCAAATTTGAAGAGAATGCGCCTCCACAGTCCACTGGCCTGAGGAGACAGGTAAACCCCATCTTACACCTTCCATCCACATTTGGTCTGGCCACATAGGGAAGGAAAGATCTTTTCAGTTGAATGACACACGGGGTATGTCACAGACCCAAGAACTCACGGGCTCTAGATTGGTGTCTGCTATTTCCCCTATGTGAGTGTGGCAGACAAGAGCATTTCAGAGGCTCCTCATGTTTTCTGCACTGCTTTATACTCACCGTTCATGTCTGAGGTGTCTGTGACAAAAGTTAGCAGAGGAATTTTAAATTTTATGTCAGTATACCTATTCATATGCATATGTTCACATTTAAATTATAAAAGAAGTACATGCTTATTGAGAAAAGTGCTGAGAAGTATAATAAAGGTAATTAAGACACCTCTAATTCTATTAATATTTTGTTACAGTTCTTTTCCGTCTTTTTTTAGTGCATTCTTGTTTTTGTAGTTGAGGCCATTCTTAATATACACTTTTCTATTCTGCTTTTTTCATATAACTTTGGTTATATTCCCATGTTGTTCCAAAATTTTTGCAAGCATCGTCCAGTGTGCGTGTGTATATACCATGCTTTTCTTAACTCTTCCTCTATTGTTGGATGTTTCAGTTGTTTCTCATCTTTCATGATAAAGTACAGAGGTAATAAACATCCTTATTATAAAGCTTCTTTTGTGTGTTGCAGATAATTTTCCCAGGCTATCTTCATTTTAAAGATTCTTCATGGATACTAACTTGCTTGCATCCTAAGTCATGCCTCAGAATGCTAGATAGGAGTCTGAAGCGATGTCCTTGTTTGATCTCATCTCTCCTCCTGTATGTCTAAAAGTCACTAAGACTTCTTGCAAGAGGAGGTGCTGAGATTTCAAAATTCACACTGAAAGTTTCTTATAAAACTCCCTGATGGCCTGAGAGCGAGTCCAGAAAAAAGGGAGCCCATCCTCTGCATTCTTTTTCTCTCTCTTCATCTTCTCCATATGCATCAGTCATTGTTCCTACGCACAGGGTAAAAGGGGCACTGACTCACTGACTTTGCTTGGAGTCTGGCCATAATTAACTTCTCACATCTAGACTTTGGTTATGGCTCACAGAGAAGATGATAGTATTGTTCGCAAACATTTGAGGTTACCTGACAGCTCCTACAGCCTCAGGTCCTACCCACTTCAGGAAGGCTGGAATGCTTTCCATTACAGAAAGTTCTCTTTGAGATGGTTGCTTTCATTTTGAGTGAAAAGAATTAACATTTTAGGCTCAGAGCATTGAGCTGGGGAAAAAAATGATGAGAATTACAGCTTCTGTTTTATTTTGTTGTTGTTGTTTGCATTTGCTTTTGGTTTGGGGGATGGAGTATTTCGTTTCCTTTATAAGTGTAACTTTCTAAGAATTAATTTTATGGCTCCACCACCATCACTCCAGTTCATAGATTTGTGTCTGTCCTCCACGAGTACCTTTTTTATGTCTTCTACCTTAATGTATTTTATTTTCTTTTGTCTCCATGTCCTTTCCCCCATCCATACCTGACCTGTGTGTCACAGCCGACACAAGAGCGTGGGGTCAGCCAGCCGTCCTGCTGCCTACCTGAGCAGGATTGCCCTGCTCCCACCCCTCAGTGGAAACAGGTAAAGGAAATGCCCAGGAACCAGAATGGGTGCTGCCTCCCTGGGCCTTCCCACCCTGCTCTTCCTCTTAAGCCAGCCAGGGTTGAGGCCTGTGCTTTAGAACCCTAGCTCACAAAGGCAGGGCGTCTCTGTGCTCATTTGAGTTGTGACTCTAGGGAAAAGTTTTAACAAACAATACTGATTTATTGCATGATTTGTTTAACTCCTTGAGATTTGAGAAACCATTTAGAAGGTTGGGCTCTTAATTTGGTGTTGAACTAACTAAAGCTGTGTGATAAATCGTTCAGGTACCCTAGCCTTTAGGGTTATACTATTATAACCTTTGTCTCAAGTTGACTTTTTGCTGACATGTGTCCTCATGACTGTTGGAAAGAGAACCCTGAATTCGGCAAGCCTGAGAATTGGGGCAGTGGAGCCTTCCATGTTAAGTAGGAAACTGTTATCCAGGAAATCATTTTGAACTATTATTTCTATTTTTTTCAGACCCTGAATATAGATGATCATGGGTATTTTCTTGATGTTTGTCTACATTTAATTTTGGAAATTGTCACTAAAGTAGTTGCAGGATCTCCTGGAAAGCTGCTTCTCCTAAGCAATACAGAATGGGACAGAAAGAGGGGGAATGGCACTTGGTTAGGAAACCATCAGAGGGACTGAAGGCCTCTACTGTACTTCGCCCACTTCACGCTGACATCTTCTTGCTCTATTGAGTGCAGCTAGACTTGCTGTTACATGGTTTGGTATCATTTAGGGCTAAGACTCTGAGAGGGCTAAGACTCTTAGCCAAGGGAGCTGACTCTCAATTCCCTTTTGTGCCATAGAGTGCCAGCAGTTGCTGGGAGGTGCTGGCGAGTTGGGTTTTATTTGAATTATATTCAAGGCAAAATGTTCCTTTATAACCTTTCTTTTAATAATATGCCACATCAAAGGCAAGGCCCATGAGCCTGAGTTGGAAGCTTGGGAACAATGTCCAAACTCATAACAGAAGCCAAGCTGCCTGTTTCTCTGTGGGGAAGAGAGGGGGAGTTGGTCACTGGAAATTCACTTCCATTTTATTTTCTTACTCTTTTCCTTTAAGTCTAGGTGGAAGGTATATTTTGAAAGGTAATCTTTAGTTGAGTATCTGCTCATTGGGAAAGTCAACTCTAAACTAAGATTCCCCCAAACTATATTCTTACAATACTTACAAAGGTACCCTAAGATAGGAGGAACAAAGAGGAAGGGAGGTCAGTTGTAATACATGTAGGTGAGTGAACAGATGACTGTCAGAGACATGTTCCTGGACAGCTGTGGGTAGGCTTGCCCCCAGGAAGTCTTAGGAGCAGAAAGTGCGACCCGAGGACCCTGGGCCACCCAAGGAGGCCCCTGTCCTCATGAAGACTGCCAAATCAGCCCCTCGCCTGATGGGGCTGTACTGAAGGGATGTCAGGAGCTTAGTGTTTATGGGCCTGGTTGTCTTTCTCCTGTTTATGAAGCATCTGCTCACCTCCAACCTTGTGTGGGGTGCTACATGGGAGACGTACAGCTGGCTTGTCACCTGGATAATAAATGACCATAGTCAATGAAGTAGAATATTCTAGGCCATACAGGCAGCAGAATAGAGCCATTAAACTCAAACCTGAGTTTTATGGAGTGGGCGCTGAAATGACAGAGTAGCTAGGTAGATAAATGAGAAACTATGAGCAATGAAAATCCTGTTAGATGGTTGTATGCTTCATGTTGTATAGAGTTGGGAATTGTAAATTTACTTGGGTGTGAAAGAACGATCACTCACAGTTCTTACATCCATGTGAAATGCATTATCTTCACATATAATTTTTTCTCATCACTAAAGCAGGGATGGTTTCATTAATCTTGGCCTTGTAAATTTATCTCCTAAAAGATAGAACATTGGAGGGTAATGCCAGATGCTACAGAAACTTAGGGATAGAGGGGCTCCAGTGGTGCATTGGAGCCTACTTCTGACTCATCTTGACTGCTGGTCCCCTTTATCTCCCTTTAGGAATGAGGGGCTGACTGGCGGCACCTTATCATGACTCACTTTGTGTTTCTTGTGAAGTAGTTCAGATCAAGGCAGGAGGGTGTGGCAAGCACAACAGTGATGGCGGAGTTGGCGCCAGGACTAGTTTTAACTTAGGTCATAGTATGAAGAGGAAGTGAATAACACCGCTGCTTGCCAGTGACTTCTCTTTTTTACTTTCCTGTGTAAACACTTTGACTCTTCCCTCCCCACCCTTTTGCCTTTTGATCTCAGAAGTGCATCCTACAGGCAAACTGCACATTATCCAGCCTTTGTTTGGAAGTAGGTTGTCATGTGAGGTGGGAGCAGACAGGGAAGCTGCTTCCCTGACCCCGCAACTTCTAGAACTGTTTCTCCTCCCAGGCTTTACCTGTGTGCTGCCCCACATGGTCATCTGGGCACGAGGAAGTGAAGATTCCTCTGACTAGGAATATGCGATTGTTTCCTGAGTTGCAGGGTTCTTTAAACCATAGACAGACTCGCAAGGAAGGGATTGCAATGGAGAGGGGCAGGATGGGGAGGCAATCCACGGACATAGGTGTGGTGTTCAGGTGGTGAAGATGTTTAATTTTTATATCCTATTTCCTGCACTTTCTTGTATTTCCTTGGTAGTTTTCTAGAACCTTTTGAGTGTCGAGTTAGGAGACTGAGCAGAGGGATGCAATGGCAGAGTGTTCTCATAGGTAGCCCTGAGGGAGAGTGCTGCTCTGCTGCTGTTGGGTATACAGGTGGCGAGCCATTGAGAGAGTCTTCATGGCCCTTTCGCGATGGCAGCCTGTGTGTCCTTTCTCTCTCCACTTATAACCAAGCCCATTTCTTCTGTCTCCCAACTTCTCTGATATAACCAACTGAGCAGAATACCCTAATCCCTGGCATTTTGGAAGTACTATACTGCAAGTCTGACCCCAAGACCAGCTGCATCTAATAAACAGTGCAAGTCCAACCTGGAGGCCAACAACAGGCTGCGACACACCACCTTCCCTGACCATACAGTGACTTGCTGTTGAGGATGGAGGCAGGAAAGGGGGCCTCTGGGATGCTTTCGGCAAATGCCCCTTGGTCCTTCCAGAACCAGCCTAAATGTGGCCATTGTTTCACCAGTGTTCTCTCTGTTTGTGTCTATTGGTATAAAAGCGACGGGAAAAGGAGCGTTCTCGGACCTGCCCCAAAAAAGTGATCACACTCTCTCCTCCCCCTGCTCCACCTCCCTGTCGGGTGCCTGGCGGCCAGCAGGTGACCTTCTCTGCATGCTCTGTTGTCCTGTTTATGTCTTCCTGCCTGCCTGTGTAGATGGCTGGGGTAGAGACCAAATCAGGATTCTCTCTTTTCAATGATCACTATTAAAAAAATAGACCATTTGTAGCAGAAGCAACCTTTATTGCTACAAATGAGCAAATTCCTAATTGGACCTCAGTATCATGCATATTACATTCAAACCCTGTGGTTTAATCTAGTCATAGGAATACAACTGTGCAATCACAAACTAGGTTGAGAGGTCCAAAAGCCCTGGAGAGCAACATATTTTTATGTAACCTCATTTAAAGCAGCCATTTTTACCTTGCTGCCCAAGGAGGCTGAGTTCATATGAACTTTTGGAAGCTTTTTATAGGGCTTCACTATGAGTTTGCTTCCTTCTAATTTTGAGAGTCCTGCCTCTTACTTATCCAACTTCTGCCAGCAAACACCAACCCTTCCTATCCACCCCACTCACACTCCTGGCAGATCATTCAAAAACAAACATGTTAACTAGGACAACAAGCGTACATTTTTGACAAGCACGCACACACACACACACACACACATACACACACATAAAACATTTATAGAATGACTTTGTTGACCTTTGTAGTCTATCCCTATAAAATAAAATACTAATTTTAAAAGTAAGATCTACGGAAAGGCATTTCTTCAACTAAGGCGGCCTATTTAAAAAGTGAATCCTTAAAATATGTCTGATTTTTAAAGGCTCAGCCTGTGCCCCTGGGCCACTGTAGGTGTAGTACTACCCTATGCCTTGTCTCGTCATAAGAGCTAACATTTAGAAGCATTTTATTGTGACCCAGGTACTGCAGGTTCTTTTCAAGTGTGATCTCAATCAATTCTCACAATAATCCTACGAATCGGATACTGTTATCATCTCCATTTTACAGATGAGGGGACTGAGGCATAGAGTAGGGAGGTGACTTATACAAAGTCATACAGATGGATCCAGGAACTGAATCTTAGTGATGTGATTCTGGAGCCTAAGCGTTGGCCTCATCCTGCCTGTGGAGACAGAATTCCTGTGGGCTCTGGAAAAGAGTAGCTACAGTGATAGCTTTGGATCAGTTTCCACCAGTACAAGGCCATAAGGTGAATCCTCAGTTATCTAAAGACTGATAAGAGTGGCCTTTCCTGCTCCTTTGATTATGATTGTTGTGTTAATGGTTTCTTCAGGTCAACAGAGATATCATGTGCCCATCTTATAGATTCCCACTCTCCCAAACAGATATTCCTATCTGTTTACTGAAAACATTTCCAGTCTTTGTGCACTTCTCCCTTTGGTAAATTATGCTTTTGTCCCATGTTCCTATGAAGGGACCACTTCCCACCCTACAGTTCCCTCTGGACTGTTGTAATGGTCATATATTTCAGCTAGTTTCCATCTCCCCACCTTTCCTTTCCAATATCTTGTGAAAAGCTTCGCCCTTCTAACCCACCGCTCCTTTTAAACCTCCCTCTTAATGCCTTTAATCTTGTGCCACATTTGAAAGAAATATGTTTGTTCCACCTTTGTACTAACTGTAGTTCTTTATTTATCTGTGTAACTGACCTCATTAGAGGCCAGGTGGGCAGAATGGCTGTGCAAGAAGTTGTCCTTGGGTCATGGGATTTGATATAGATGGGATTGTGGTTCCTTGGGGTGGGGCTCAGTAGGGGACAGGGGATTTGTATTGAAATGAACTCTGAATTTCTGGCACTGTCACTTAGTAGGTCCAAA